AGCGCGCAGGGAGGCCCAGAAAATTGACTGGTCGGTGACAGGAGGCGGCTTTTCTAGCCTGATGACCAGCAATACCTGCTGGGGTTGGCGAACCCTCGGTAAAGACTAGGAAACGCCTCAGCTTTGATGGCGAAGTGCCGATCAATAATGTACAGATTAGATTTCATTTGTATCAAAATCGATTTAATACACGGTATATATGTACGGTAGCGATAAACCAGTCCTCTCGCAGAGAGTACAAACTTGATTGAACTATAATCTTGATGTCCTCGTGCGTTTATTTTCTACCACGCGTTACCGTATATAAGACGGCTAATTTTGAATTTGTTTCTGTTTGGTCAATTTAGCTGGAATTCAGAAAGATGGACATAAACGGCAGCATAAGAAACCTCCACGATCGCCGTCGTGGATAAACAGAACCCCTGTGAGCATACCTTTGGGCTTTATGAGGACTCTCATAAGGCGCGCGGCAACGCCTTAGTTTTAGCGAGGGAGACGTTCGTCAGTAATGTAGCAGGTTTAGATTTCATGTGCATCAAAATCATTGTATGTCTATACACGGTATATCGCGAGGCATAAAGTAAAACCATGGCCAGTGCACGTTTTACTTGGTACAAATTAGATTTAGCTATAAATCTTCTATCGCATACGCGTTTAATTTCTACTGCGCGTTACCATTATATAGAGACGTATGTAACGCTTAGTTCCGGTTTTCTGTGAATTTAGAAAGGAAATGCAGAAATATCTCCCCCAGAAAGATCTCCCCAGAAAGATTCCCCAGTCTCCTTCCGGGATCCTGGGAGACCCAGCCATCAGTGGAGAAAAGAGTTTCGAACCCTTCGGACAAAAGCAGAGTTTTCACTTATACCAATAGATGCGAAAATATGTAACGGCTAACGCGACTTAGACTGATTATAATTCCTGAATTGTATTTCAGTCCCTTTACCTTTTCAGATGCAGCGTAAGATCTCCTACTGCTAGTCCACAATTGGGTCACGCGATCCTCAAAGAAATGGATCGGACGAGCGTATCTCCACGATGTAAAATTTGGGAATTTGAAATCCCACCTCAGGTCTAGTATCTCAAATTATCCTTTAGATTTTAAAATTACATTATTTTATTTTACTGACAACTCCGATTAATTATTCTCATTTTAAGTTCTCTAAAAATAATAATAATAAATACATAATAAAATAATTCCGGATATTGACTTTCATCATTCCATTTCCATACAGACATATATTTTTTTTCGGGTAGGATTCAAATTTCAAAGTTATCCATTTATTGTGCAGTATTTTGTTATTGTTATTGCTATTGTTGTTTTTATTCCTAAGTAAAATGTTCTTTTCTGTACATCTTTAAAACTTTCGCTTTAATCTGTTCAGTTATAATTTATTGTCCATCTTTGAGTGCTCTTCATTATTGCATTTCAGCTCCATAGTTAATGCTAGCTCTTTTTGTCCATCTATTTTTTCCTTTTTAAATTGTATTTTGTTTTAGAAAAATAAATTCTTCAGGGCTTCTGTTATAAAAATATGTCGACCGTATGTAAACGTAATCTAGCCCGCATTTTTATAAGATAGTCAGTCGGACTCGAATAATCGACAAAACGATTTCGGGAAAATAAGAGGATTTTCTCAGGATCTGGAGCGGCATTCTGCGGTGTGTTTGGAGCTTTACGAAGGAATTGTATTGGATTTATACTCGTGGTGAGTACTTTCAGTTTATGTTTTCATTTCGTCAAATGCTTCTCATTAACCCGTATAGTCATAGCGTAAAAAGTCGCCGTTATCGCCGTTGAATATCGATCGCGTGCGCGCAATTGCGCAGTTTTCAAACGGCCGGTCAAGTAGGGTCGATGTGTCTTTTGTCCGGTCACGCGTTCGTGTCAGGCTAAGCCTTGAATGGAATTCTTTCGTTACTGTTGCCACTATCGGCGCCCTAATACCGCCACCGGCAATGCGTGAACGGATTGGGGAACTTATATACGTAATACCCGTATTGCCCTATATATTTCAACTGTTTGTTGCGTTTGGATCAGCGTAAACTCCCTCCATCTCGTTATTCATTATATTTTATCGTTGTAAAATTTTGTATTGTCTCGTGTACCACTGCTGGTGGTTTCCGAAAATAGATTTCTGTCAATGCTTATAAGGACTTGTTACTACGCGCTTGTCACTCGTTACTGTTAAAGGTTATAGTATAGTTTACCGGCATCAGGAATAAACGCTGTTGAAACAAAAGGGGTCATGTTAAAGGCTTGGAGTCAATTTATAATTATTTTACAAAAATGCTTTTGTGTGGTTTTATTATGATTATTATTTTTAAATCGTCAGTTCCATTTTCGCCTCATATATACAGTAATAAATAAAATGAACGTATTAAACTTCCCGATTTATTAATATTTGACGTCCACCAGGAACGATGTTTCGAACGTTTGGTGACACTAATGACGATAGCGTGGGGACGCTATAGTCTTTTATAGCGAGCAATCGTTCCCTTTTGTAAATTATGATCAAACCGCAATCACGGCTCACTTGAATGTATCGATTTTGTTCGAGACAAAGAGGGACGATGAACCGACGGTGACGGTACCGCGTCTTTTCGTGACGTCACGCGGTCGAATGCCTCCGATTGGGTGAAATTAGATTTGAAATTATGATCGAAACCAATCGCTATTGACGCTCTTCGGGCCACGCCCTTTCGATCAAAGAGAGGTATATACAACACTTATTGTACATGCGACTAACTTGTGATTCCTTGGAACTTTGTTTTCATCGTTTGGGACTGGGCTGTGTCCAAGCGTTTTCAAAGTAGATGAACATAACAGTGACAACCTTGCGGGAAACTGGCAGAGAGCAGAATTATTTTGTGAACGATGCAACGGGATATGATATGGAGTTATGACTATGAGTGGCATAAATGTGGTGTTTCGCCAGACCGTTAGATCTTATCTTACCAAATTTCCATTCTAAACGGAATTAGATATACCATTTACCAGGCAGGTAAATGTTTACTAATGTTTTGCTGCATATTTTGTATAAATAGGGATGTATTTTTGACAAGGCTTTCTTGATTTATATGTTAGATATTGCCTTTGTTTATGTTTGGGGCTGTGTATTGTAATTGAGTTTGAATATTTTTATAATAGAAGGTAATATGATAGTGAGGTTCCCTGATAATTGTTGGGGAAAATCATATAACTGTATTTTTCGAGTTTAAATAAATGTTTTATCAGCATTTCCATCACGTCTGTTTGTGTTGATATTAGTCATGTTGGTGGTCAAGCTGAAGTAGTGCGAGCCAGTAGTTCTACTATACGTGCGCAGTGAAGCGCAATGAAATCAAACGCATTTTTAATCCAAAATTTCCAATTTCCTGTGTGGAAAATTCGAAGTCAGCGTCAAAATCCATGGAGTTGTTGTTATGATCCGCCATCATTGTGGTCAAACGGAAGTAGTTCTCACAATAAGATTTGTTAATGCGCGGTGAAGCGGCCTTACAATCAGATGAGCGTCAATCCACAATTGATGCCGTCTGATTTTTCTGAACAACTAATCAGAATCTAGTATTTTCTTGATTCATGGTAGAATCATTATTTAAGCGATCACGACAGCAGTAGCCTCGACGGTGATTGGTCAAATTGTTCCATACCTAAAAATACCCACCAATGACTAAGTAGCATGCTCAGAGTCCATATTCAAATACATACCAAAAGCTGAAGTTATAATAATACGATATTGGAATATATTATGACTGGAAGAATAACAGTTTCAGTAATTAAAAAAATGTTGCAGGTCTTCCGATCATAGTATCAAAACTCATTAATGTCTTCTCATTAATTGGGTATATCTTTATGCATTCACCGGTACGTCGAAAAGGTTTATCCGGTTGATTGCTCAAATCAATCTTTGCCTTAGTTTAAGAGGCCACAAGATAAACTGTACCTATAACAGCAGAACGGAAAATACAGTTTAAATGGTTAATTATGTAATGTCTGGGTCTTTTCTAATCACGACTTTATATTTTGTATTCTAATTCAACTTAGTATGTAACACGAGTTCTGATTGGTCAATGCTATAAATTTCCGCCCGTATAATCAGCATATACGGTCGCAATTTGAAAACCGATTCACCGAAACCTTTGAATGTATCCCTACACTATTGGGGTAACGCTGTTTCGCAGGACATTGTCATTTGCAGAAGCCATTGGTCAATTAACTCCCCTATCCAGCTAAAATGGGTGGAATTTGTGTTAAAAAAGACTAAACAGTATCATAAATTTGATTTTAAGTTCAAACAACTTACTCGCAAAGGGCTGTTGACCCAACACTGTTAGATCATGAAACAAGGTTTATGACGTCATTATGGATCGTGACGTCACCTGCTATGACGTCATTTGACAACAGAACTGATAATGTCCCGTAGTTGAGGAATCAGCGGGCCGCTCATTTCTGTAACTAGAGGGCGGTTTCCTCATAATACCGTCCATTTTATCTATAATACTATGATCTATTCATCATTGTCAAATTTAGTCTGTCTGCACATAATAAACGTGTGTAGTTGAAAAGGGAACTACTTTCTCTGGCGATGGTGTAAGTTGAAGGAGGATATGATTAACCTTTGACCTAGAGGAATTTTGACCTGGTTTAAATAATGAATTTCTGTTCACCAAAACAGCGTAAAACGAGTTGAATTAGAATGGGATAACTGTACTGTGTTTGACGAATTGGGATGTAGTACCGGTGGTTATATAGCCGCAAAATTTTAACGTTATATCGGCTCCCGCTTACGCGTCGCCGATATAACTAAATTTGCGGCTATATAACCACCGGTATACGCTTACGCGTCGCCGATATAACTAAATTTGCGGCTATATAACCACCGGTATACGTCCCCAATTCGTCAAACACAGCACAAGTTATCCCCTAATTGACGAAGCTTGTTATCAACTGCTTTTGACAATTTCATCTTTGCGGTAGTGACCATACCTTACCTTGACGACAAGGTGCTTGTGATGGTTGATGTTGTCGTCGTGTATGGTGAAGTCATGTTACCAGGGATGAGGTTGTCACATGAGTTTCCAGGGGCTGGGGGTAGCTTCACGGGTGGGTGGCCGTACAATGTTGCCCCGACAGTCAACCATATATTCAGGGCTAGGCCACGAGCACTCCAACAATGGCTCCCTGAAGTAGGTTATGAATATGTGTTACTTACAGCAATAAAAGCCCCTCAAAAGTGATTGGTTGGTTGGTTTGTTGTTTAACGTCGCACTAAGCAATATTCCAGCTATATAGCGGAGGCCTGTGAATAATCGTGTTTGGACCAGACAAGCCAGTGATCAACAGCATGATCATCGATCTACGCAATTGGGATACGATGACATGTGTCATCCATGTCAGCGGGCGTGACCACCCGATCCCGAGTGATCGCCTCTTACGACATGCATGGGATGCTGAAGACCAATTCTAACCCGGATGTTCACGGGTCTGGGGATAAAGAATATTTTGTTCTTCACATTGATCTAACGAAAACATACATAAACTATCCATATACTAGCATGCTTGTATCACCAACTGCCTGACTGTTTCCACGGTTTGATGTACCTCAGTAATGTTGCCACTGGAAATAGAGTGGTGCTGTTGATTTATGCCAATAGGTTCTTGAATACCCACAAAGTGGAAGGAGAGTATTGAACGTTTTTGTAGTTCTGCTACGGAGTGTTGCACTACCACCAATTTCAGTCAAAGTCAAAGTTGTTGCCATTGAAAAGCAAAAAAACCAATTTCCTAAGAGATCCAAAACTACCAAAAGGCACCAGTTCACCACCAGATCTATCTATGTGCCAAGTTTGGTGAAGTAACATTGAGCGGTTTTTACGTTCTGCTCCGGAAAATACGCATTTGCACGGACGGACGCACGGTCGGACGGAAGGAATCCAAAATCATACCCTCCGCAAAACGCGTCGCGGGGGATAATGACCAGTCTTTTCAGTAGTCACCTTTAGCTTAAGTTCAGCTGTATTCCCACAGCACTAGCCTTTCTTGTCTATATTCCGTCTTCGATTCCCCACATGGGTACAATATGTGAAGCCCATTTCTGGTGTCCTCCGCCGTGATATTGCTGAAATATTGCTAAAAGCGGGGCCAAAACCATACTCACTCACTCACTATATTCACTCATGAGGTAAAATCAGATAAACGTCTTACTTACCTGAATTTCGAAGATTGCAAAGAAAGTTACCGTAATGTAATTCGCAAAGTGTTTGATAAATTAATGATTGAAACTCTAATAAAAGGTCGAGCAGTATCCGTTGAGGGAGTGGGTGGGGCTTGAAGGTAACCACTACTGGTTCTTCAAAATGGCTTGCAATTGATTGTTTGAGATGGATCACTTTTAGATCCCTTTGAACCTATGCTAGAAAACAACGCAAAGCCAACACAGTATCGTGCATTCATTAATGTTACGATTAAATTAACGTTACACTCTCAATAAAAACCTTTTCCAAAAATGTTTCAGAACACATTACAAATTGACAGAAAATTACATTTTTAATTCAAACTCAAATAATTTAAAAGTTACTATGACGAAAAAGTTTTATCAGACGAATTTAGAACAAAACATTGTTTTGCTGGCAGATAATTTCATTCTTTTCTTTTGGAACATCGTAATCCATAAAAAGATGACGGTTATTAACAGCATAAAGATAGATTCAGCTAGCATGTGTATCAAACAGTGTTTTACTTACAATTTTATTTGTCCATGGGAAGAGCGCGCCAAGGAAGTACGTCCCAACTATTGGTCCGCCACAAGCTCCCATCAGGGCTAAGGCTGTCTGTGGAAAGTTTCAAATAGTATACGTAAGCATTGGGGTTGTTGGTTTGTTGTTTCACACCGCATTCAGCAATATTCCAGCTATATGGCGACGGTCTGTACATAATCGAGTCTGAACCAGACAATCCAGTGATCAGCAGCATGAGCAACGATCTACACAATTGGGATACGATGACATGTGTCAACCAAGTCAGCGAATCTGACCACCCGATCCCGTTAGTCACCTTTTACGACAAGCACGGGTAACCCGGACCTTCACGGGTAGCATACGTTAGTAGGGAAACAGAGACTTGACAAAAAGCATTGTCATTATATTAGTATGAATATATATTGTCGTATCGTTTGCCTTCGGGCATAAGGGGCAGTAGGGTAGGCTACTGGTTAAAGTCTTAGCTCGTCACGTTGAAGACTTTGTTCGATTCCCCGCATGGTTAGAAAATGTAGCTTATTTTTGGTGTCCCCCGCTGTTATATTGCTGGAATATTGCTAAAGAGGGCGTAAACAATATACAAGTTTAACAAATTCAATAATCAACGGATGGAGTAAGACATACCTGTATGATTGTACCTGGCAAATCTTTTAACAGGAAAGCCAAACCTATACAGACGCCACCGTAAAACCACACTGAAAAGTAAATTCTTGTTCAGGCGTTTTCCTTCAAAGACTTTTTAAGGATATTTGACGTCGGATCTCACTAAATTAAGCGATCTATACTGAGGGACGAAAGAAACAACACCCCGCAGTTGACTTTATGACGCGCGTTCTTTTCAGCTGAAAATATCTAAAGTAACAAATTCAACTAAACTCTCCGTCAACACTTAAGCATACTTGTACATGGTTTAAAATTTGTTTGATATTTAAGCTTAAAATATCAAATTTCCATAATCCACAACTGCGATCGGTACCATTTCGGTGAGAGCTGATAGATTTTGGGACAAATTGTCACTATTTCAAACATGGTTATGTGGCCTTCATTTAGGTAGTATATATTTCAACACAAAAGTACTCAACCACAGATTACACAATACAAATAGTTATTGGAATGAGCGATGGTTATAAGGACAGGTGTAAGAAAAACAATTCAATTTTCAGTCACATAAAAGACACACTCTTAGAGCTTATCTTGTTCCTTATCTTGGTACATTTGTATAGTGCTACATGGATATATATGTGACCTGTAACATGCTACATATACTTGGTTCAATATGAATTCTTTCCGAGAGCTTTCTATCACTTGCTTGAGAAGGGTGTTTGAACCTACACCGAAACGTCGCTCTCATTGTAGTTCAAAAGTTGTTCATCCATATATTGTTATATTTCCTTCCTTCCTTCCTAAACTGGCGCCCTGTTTATGGACTTTTTGATCATTTCAATCCATGTACTTTTATTGTCTGACAGGACAAAATATGACAATTAATAATTTCATTTTACCTGCTAGTTTTGCTGTGAGCAGCTTCACTGAATCCGATGTCTCGCACTTCTCAAATGGGCGTTTCAGTATATCTTCTATGGTGTTTGCAGCAAGACCGTTCGTGATTGATGATATTGTACTAACGTGAAAAGAGCATTCATATCAACACATTGTGACAGTCTGGTCAGGTGTGTGATCAAACGTTGTATAGTAAAGTCACGTTCCGATACATCCTGCAGTGGCACTTAACCTACACTACGGGATGACCCTCTTTGAGAACTATTAAACCATGTGTGGCCGTGGTGCATAAAGAACTCACCACGCACATCGCGCACATTGTGGTCATCGCTTTGACCACTGGACGGTACAGCCGAATTGTACAGAGAGGCTAACACATTGGACGTTTTATTCAACTCTGTTTATGAAATATGATTTGGGCGGACCATAGACCTTTCCCTTCGTTATAGTTGCATCTCGTGTCATTTGGTCTGGACTCGAGACGTTACTGACCACACACTCAGATGTACACACAGCCACTACATGCTTGCATGCACACACACGCACGCACTCACACACACACACATACATGAATATATACAGATACACACATACGTACACACATACATACATACATACATACATACACACATACACACATACATACATACATACATACAGACAGACAGACAGACAGACAGACATACATATGTGCATACGTACATATGTACAAGCACACGTACATACATACATACATACATACATACATACATACATACATACATACATACATACATACATACATACATACATACATACATACATACATACATACATACATCACGTTATGTACATGTAGATATACAAAGGTACCTGAGCGCGCCACTGAAGATTGTTCCCAGATAGATTCCTGACATACCAGGGAAATCTTCAAAGATCTTCATGACAAAATACGGCATCAACTGAAACCAAATGAAACCGATAAGAATATTTAGTTCATTTACCTTAGAAATGAGCATTACTTTCGCTGTCAGAACAAATAAAAGCAATGAAAAGCGTTGACGAAAAGGATCTCGTTTTTAGGTTCGCTGACTTGGTTGACACATTTCATCGTATCCCGATTGCGTAGATCGATGCTCAGTCTGGTCCAGACTCACAGATGGAACATTGCTGAGTGTGCCATGAACAGGTGTTTATAAACATTCGGGAATAGTCCATTAATCAGCGGGGTTACATTGATTATTTAGTTGATAAGTTAAGTTGACAATGAATTCAATTGGTCTGTGTGGTTTTAGTGTTTTGAAACATTCAACGGACTCACCTGATTGTTATTTGTTAGTATACCGGCTTTGAAGGGGTCACACCCTATCGTCGCAAAGTAACTGTAAGCTACGATTCCCATAAAGCACACACATATGATGTAGGTACTGACGATGAATATGTTGAGAGCGTACACACTGAAACAGTAGCATAGGTAATCAATCTAACATCGGTCCTAGATATAAGTACCACATATCAGTGAAGAACTGATCATGACTATGGTTTTACGCCGGTGTTGAACACAGGCCCACGGCATAACGAAAGAACGCTTTACACCCAGGCTATTGTCCCAACGGCAACATAGATGACAACATCCCCGAGGGTTTTGTTGTTGTGTTGTTTTGGCTTTTAGTTTGTTTGTTTGTTTGTTTTAGTTTCCATTTTCCCCTCTTTAGTCTGTGCTCATGAAAAAAACCTTTTGAATTTTGTAACTACTTTTGACCAAGACTGGCCACAGGGTGGAGAGTAAAGGGAGTAAATGGCCCTAAAGAATAACAGTGGAGTAAGTATGGTTTTACGGCGCTTTTTAGCAATATTCCAGCAATATCAGGTCGGGGAACACCATATATGGGCTTCACAGATAGGCGTGACGGGCCAACGCCTTAACCACTAGGCTAGCCCCCGAATTACAGTGGGACATGTATATGTGCGTACTGTTGAACTGAATAATGTCAAGTTTATACAGATGACATTACAACCACATGCAGCTTGGGTTGTGAATTTCCCAGGAAGTTGAGAATGAGAACTGGAATGCAAACGGAACCATTTTGAGAAACATACAATTCACATTTGAGCAGATACTAGTATTTGGACAAGTGCGGTATAAACATAATGATAATTATACACTCACGTTTTGGCTCCAGACATTTTAGGTATTGCACAGATCCTCTGAATGGCAGACTGGTCGAATGTGTAGCCAAAGAACGTGAACAGTCCACCCAAAGTAAGGGCCCAGAAGGAATGGCGGACACGGGGATCAGGGTCGAAGCTGCAGCCATCAAAGTGATGATGTGAGCAGGTGGGCTTGTAAAGTTGTAGTGAATGTTAACCGTGATATTCACGAGCACATTTTAACATACATTTCACTTTAGTAAGAATGTATTCACACAACTATGGTATTACATGCATCCCTATCGGATAACCATTTGTCTGTCAGACTCGATTATTTACAGACCGCCGCCATATAGCTGGAATATTGCTGAGTGCAGCGTAAAACTAAACTCACTCACTCACTCACTCACTAACCATTTGTCTGTTTGCTTTGAATACACAATGAGTTTTACAAAAATGACCAACTGTAACAGATTCTTTTAGTTTTTTTGTTAGCATGCAAGCCCAAATATACGTTACATATGGCCACTTTTTAATAGGTTTTGTGCAGTCATAGCGTTCGGCCGTGGGTGCCGTGCCAATTTACACAAAGTACATGGTCCGGACTGCCTGTTACATGACTACCATATTTTTATTACCGATGGCTGAGTGGGTTAGATCGCTGGATTTGTGTGGTGGCGGTCAGGTGCATATGTTACATTTGGCCACTTTCAAAAAGGCGTTTTGCATTCTTTCCATAATTCTTGTAAATGTCTACTAAAAACAATTTTAGCTGATACGATTCTGAACACATCAAAAGCTTGTGTTAATGAGCCACCATCAAGTGATGACACCACTGGTTCTCAAAAAGTTACGTGTAGCCTTACTCGACAGGTGGAATTCTGCCTCCTTCCTTCGCCAAGGTCCATGTTGTGTCCAGACCTCCAACTTCATGAACACCCTGCGAACATGATTATCACAAACAACACTTCATTAATATTGTGAAATCGCAGTCCTTGATGTGTTATTGTGACATTTCCCAATCTTTTCATATATAAGTAGCAAATATATATAACTATGTTCCCAGTCGAAGTGTGGGTGCTGACTTGAATTTGGATTTACTAGTACTCTGCAAAGTTTAAAGTTTACCTTCGAAGTTTAGTTCCGTCCAATCTTGTACATGTATTTTATTTGTCCGTACATTTGTGCTAAATCATGATGACTCACCATTCCAAAAGACGGTGCATATATAAATCAAGATAACATTACAAAGGATGGCTTATATACCTGACACAAGGACTTGCTATTTTAAGGAAGGTGATACTTTACCAATCAAGATGACCTGTCTTTACAAGGACTTTGAATATGCTAATGAAATCTCACCACTTTTATAAGGACGTTGAATATAGAATGAGTGACTGAGTGAGTGAGTTTAGTTTTACGCCGCACTCAGCAATATCCCAGCTATATGGCGGCGGTCTGTAAATAATCGAGTCTGGACCAGACAATCCTGTGATCAACAGCATGAGCATCGATCTGCGCAATTGGGAACCGATGACATGTGTCAACCAAGTCAGCGAGCCTGACCACCCGATCCCGTTAGTCGCCTCTTACGACAAGCATGGGTTACTGAAGATCACTGAATATTCTTACCCGGACCTTCACGGGTCTTGACTATAGAAATCAAGACGACTCACCACTGAATATACCAATCAAAACTACTCACCTTCACGAGCACGAAGAATATACCAAGCATGATGATGGCTGCCTGAAAGACATCAACGAGGACCACCCCTCGGATTCCGCCCTGTGTACATAGATATATAGCACATAGCACATCTATGAAGCTCTGACGATGAAAGCAGGTTGGTAAACAACGTGCTTTATGTCAATAGCATAGCATATTTTGTGTATTACCAAGCGACATGTGTTCATGTCTTGCACTGATGGACACCTAAAATTTGTAAGACGAACTGCAAAGAAAAATAACAGCAACAATATTTTTCAAAGAAATTGTTACCTTCGTTGCGATGTCAAAGGAAATGTAACTAGGCAAACATTTGTTTTCATTTGGTCTCAGACAAGAGTCAAATGTCAATGAATGTTTCAAACTTGACGTGAAATATGTATTGCTGTTTAACTGTAAAAGACAATAACCTCATATACAGTAACCAGCAGACAATATACGACTTTTCACAGACGTAGTTTCAAAATTTATTTACTGATAAAATCAGTTATAATTTTCATACATCCACTCTGGATACTGAAGTTTATATTTATGCAAGTCAATATTCTGTTAGTCCACCGTTTCTCTCGATGCACTGCTGAATACGGCGTCCCATGCTGTCAATCAAATTGTCTATGTAGTCCTGGGGTAGGTCCACCCATATTTGACTGATGGGATTAGGCCACTCAACGACACTCTTCGGTTCCAACTTTTCTAATTTGTCCTTCATAATCTGCCACACATTTTCAATTGGGTTCAGGTCTGGTGACGCCGCTGGACATTTCTGTAAGGTCACGTGACTCGTTTCAAACCAGTTACAGGTGTGTCTTGACTTGTGTACAGGTGCATTGTCCTGTAAAAGTTTGAAAGGTATTCCACTCTGTCCTATATGGGATTCCACTATACCTTCTTGTATAAGTTGACAGTACTTGCGTGAATCCATCCTTCCCGTAATAGTTAGCAGCGGTGTTACCCCGAGTTTGCCTATACCACCCCAAACCATGACACTGAGTGAGAACTTCAGAACCATTTTGCAGCTACGTCCACCTCTTGACCACCTCTTTCTTGTGATCCTATAAAACTGAAACTTTGATTCGTCCGTAAAAATCACATTTGAAAAGTCTGAACCCTGCATTTCCCTGCACCACTCGAGCCTGTTGTCATCAATGGAACTTTCTTCGGCACTCGCTTGACATATCCAGATTGCTTCAAAGATCTTCTGATTGTCCATTCTGATACCTTAGGGGTTCCTTGACTTGATGCCTTCACAGCAAGCCGTTTTTCAGACCAGTTTGGGTACGCCGCCGCGAGACGCGCTATACGTCGTCTGTCATTTGCCCTAAGAGTAGCACGACGTCCCCATCCAGCCTGTCGCTCTGTCCCTAACCCTGCGTCAAATTACTTCAAGTTTCGGTAAACAGAGGCCTGATGCAGTCCCGTCAGTTTCACAAGTCTAGTTACGGATGTAATACCTGCTTCATAATATGCCAAAAGTCGATTTCTGTAGTTTTGTTACGTCATGGCAAAGCTTCGGTATCGTCTGCTAGCAACGAGGTCACGTGATCAAACCATCCCTGAACCCAAGGGAGATAGTTCCATACCAACCAGGCAAGCTACTGGCGGCTAGAAACAAAGTATTTCGGCTTTTTTGATAGTAGGATCGAGTCTACAGAATAAAGTTTTTTGTCGCATTTTTTCTGCTCGTTACTATATATGCAACAGTAATAACATCAATCAAGCCAATGAGCCTGGCCACTGATAATCTCCTTTTACGACAAAATCTGACGGATTCTTCATTACTCCACGAAACGGCAGGTTCCATGATGACTCTACATAGCACGGTTTCTTGTCATAGTAATGAGACCACTGATCTCATATATTGTCTCATCACTGGTGACGATCCGGGTTAGAATTGATCTTCAGGAACCCATGCTTGGCATAAGAGGCCATTAACGGGATCGGGTGGTCAGGCTATCTGACTTGGTTGACACATGTCATCGTTTCCCAGACTGTTGATCTCTAGATTGTCTGGTCCAGACTCGATTATTTACAGACGGCCGTCATAAAGCCGGAATATTCCTGAGGTCAGCGTAAAACTAAACTCACTCACTCACTCATCGATGTCAACTTACCAGTGACGTGTACACGATTCCAACTAATCCGACAATGACGACCGACACCCAAAATGGTAAACCTGTAGCTGTGAACACAAGCAAAAGGTCAGTTTCCTGTTAATAAATTTGAAATTCCTATTACATAGGACAGCATTAGGTTATATTTCAAATAACCAGAAAAGAATATTGTCATGTGATTCCTCTTTATGCAGACATTACTTTTCTTACTTAGATCCATTTATTTCAGTCAATCTTTTTAGTCGGTATTTCAAAATCAGTTGCAACAAACATCAATTTCTCGTATCGTCTCTCTTATACAACATCATGCATGGGAACCAGTTGGCCAATGTTCGCGCGAGATTCACTCACTAACTTATGAAAAACTAAATATGGCATGGAATCGGCTCGTGGGTTTTAAATCTAGCTGTATGCATAAATAAAGTAATTATGGAGAGAAGGAAAAGGACTGCACCCATTTTGAATGTGAATAAATGCAATACAACTATTATCGGAATCATAAGAAATCTCCCACGAATCCATTATACGAGTCCAACTCTGCTTTATGAATCACTTCTTCTACTTCATTTATTTCAGTAATAAGGCCTCAGGCCCACGTACATATTACATGAAAATATTTACAAATGGTGCTGCATTTCCTGAATCACTGAGTTCACGGGAAGTATGAAACGTTCACGTCAATAAAGTATGTTTGCTTCAGTTCAGGCTCATTCAAGAGTTGTAGCTCAACCATACCCCTTTGTCCACGAGTCAAAATAGCTAGGAGAAGGACGTTAGTACAATATGCTTTATCTTGGTAAACGCTGTTCGTAGAGGTGTTGACTGATACCAAGGGCCATATTGGAACGCAGGTGCAAGTTGCTTACCTGTTTGAATTGATAATGCAGGTGACAGCAAAACTACGGCGGTGAAAACGATCTAGAAATATACACAGGTGATATATATTTATAGTCTGTTTGCAGTGAAAACGTACCGATGAATTTCACTTTAAGCCAAAAAGGAAATCAAATAAAGTGAAAATAAGATTGCGAACCCTCATAATTTTACCTTGCCAATTGAACATTTATATTAGGTCATGTGGTTATGGGACTGCATCTTGCTAGACGAATTAGGATTCGGTCGTGGTGGTTATTGTTCTTCACGGTCCAGGGCGGTTCTTTACCTAAGCGGTGGGTACGTGATTCCTCCGTATGATTAATGTCAGCACCGATGTTACGACAGGACTGGCTGTGTCATGCATGCCGAAATTAACATCTCATTTATCATCTCCCACACCACCTCACATCTCATCTACCGCTCCCACATCTTTGGGATATTGTGTGAAGCACGTGCTTCACATGTAAATTTAACTTTGCTCGGGTAGATCCCTTGTTTGGAACAAATATCTTTAAAATTGCCTGTGGGTTTAGGTGGTGATTAATTAATGCCCATGTGTATATTTCCATCCCATTATCGGTTATTGATTTTTATAAGGCAATATCAGTTTGAACTGGCGATAAAATCTTCAAGGATGATTGTGTTCCTAGATTTTCTACGCTCAAACCAGAACGCAAAAAGATATCCATTAATGCTCCGACACTTTGGCTTGTAAAATTTTCATTCCCTTTGTTTGGCTACTGGTTCATATGTCTGTTAGTGCTTATTTAGTTCATTGATCTTGAGGATTATTAGCATTAAGTGCAGTGTCGAAAAGAAAGGTATGCTATTTCACACTTAGGATTATTTGAAATAGCTAGAATGTAGGACATTGATTGAAATATTCTTGTAAACGTTTCAGCATATGCTGAGACGACTTACTATGTTGTCCGACTCACCTTCTGAAACATTCCGACAACTGTCACGAAGAGCCAGAGAAAGGGAGACTGGAAGCGCAGGCGGAAATACTGAAATGCAAAGGACAAGGTTAGTATAAAATTGTTAACACAACTTTTCTTACTACAGGTACAGCAATACATGATTACCCTGGTTGCGAACACCTGGTGTTATGACTGATTTACGGTGATCCATTGAAACAATATTCTCTAGCAGACAATCAAGACAGGTTTTGTATATATGCAAATTTGGGATATAGACATAAGCATTGCTTTACACCGTTTACAAGAATGGAAGTGGAGAAAAGGATTATGTTGTCAAAGATTCACTAGCACATTTCCTTATCATTCTTGAGTATACGCTATTTTCGAAACCTTCCCCTCATATTCCAACCGCACATCACTCTTCACTTCAACATCTCATATATCACACCACTCACAGCCCTACCACCTCGTATCCCACTTTACCCGAGGTCCGAGTTAGAATATTGATCTTCAGTAACCCATGCTTATCGTAAGAGGCAACTAACGGGATCGGGTGGTCAGGCTCGCTGACTTGGTTGACGCATATTGCTGAAATATTGCTAAAAGCTCGTCCACTCACATTTTGCATTTGATACAGCGCTTCTTATACCTTCCACAGCTGCCAGACAACGCATATGAGTTAAATTGATATTGAGATATTGAAACCAATCCATTTCATACAAGATGTCAATAGTCGTTCTTAATTCACGGCGGATGACATACGAAATGGACTTCAGAGTGATATCAGAGTTGGGAATCGAACCCGGTCGTCGGCGTGAAGAGCGAATACGTTAACCACAATGCTGCACCACCGCCCCTAAACATCTAAGACAATGTATGGGTGAATAATTAGAGATGAAACTAACACAGTCAAACTGTAAATTAACCTCTTAAATCTGCAAGTCGGAAATATTGACTTACGGAGCTTCAATAGGGGTCTTTACGGACAAAAAGTAGTGTTTACGGCACAGGTAGGAAAATGGCACTTTTCCTTGGGCAAAACACAAGAAGTGATATAGATCGTTTGTTATTTTACCTTATGTATTGTGTATCATTTGTGTTAAAAGAGTGTGAAATGATTTCATACCATATTATAAGTTGTATACTTCTCTCGAGGGTAATACAGTCTGATGTACGCCTCTTTGTAGCTGTGTCATCACTCGCCCACCGGCTCGGGTAGGCGTACATCAGACCCTATTACCCGAGGGAGAAGCATACAACGTATGAATCTTACCGCCATGTTAAATGTAAAAAATATCATTTTATTTTATTTTGAAGATCGCTACAGACTATATGACATGTAAACAAAATGGCGTCTGTTTCTCGACTGGAATTATAAAATCAGTGAAACATTTTCTGACAAGCTTAAAACTGCTATAAAATGGTTAGTTATATTTAAGTTGAGTGTGCAAACGATTCAATGTATTAAATAAAGCCGTGAAAGTCGGTAAAATAAATTTGTACATAGTGAACACAAAAACGGCTAATCGAACGGTTTTCGAACTCCCTGCACTGCATGCGTCATATTATGACGTCATACAATTGTTAGGGATACAGCTTCTCGACGGAGAGTTTGGCGGTTACCTTGGCAGCGGGTAATATTTTTTTCCAGTTGTCACCATCCAGGGAGAGGTCACACGGAAAGAAACATGTCAAAGCGTCATTGAACAATGAAATTAAAGTATTTAACATGAAGGTAAGATAAATATGTATATCGGAACGTCTTTTGTCAAACAGTATGTGCAAGCACACCTGTAAACTTGCTCATATGCGTTTGTGTGTGACATGCGTGACTTGTATTCAATAACCTGAGCTAACCCACCTAAACCATGGCTATGTATATATGTGTTTACTGTGTTAGAGTAATTATAATTTTAAAAGTACTTAACTTTATGAATGCCTGCAGTTTCATAAAGGCCGAAGAACACAATGGGACATAAGAGCAAAGTGAATATTATGTAATAATTTATATAAGCAATGAAAATATTTTTATACTGCTATAGGTGACACCTCAGCGGAAGAGGTATGTATGGCCATCACTTCATAGTGCAAAATGTGAGTGGACGAGTTTTTAGCAATATTTCAGCAATATCATGGCAGAGGACATTAGAATAGCATAGCACTCATACTCTCTCGTCTCTCTCATAACAATGGACAGTGGCATATGTTTTACGATGTATTGCTTTCATCATACATCATTTGGCATACATCATCTGTATGGAAGACAGTAATAACATGCTTTCATTTCTTCGATTTATTTTAGAATATTTTTATACCGCTATAGGTGACACCTCAGAGGAAGAGGTATGTATGGCCATCACTTCTTCCTGCCAGTTAGCTGAGGCTTAGATATCGACCTTTCCGATAACAATGAAGCATTTGTCATGACATAGCTTGACTCCTTTCTCGAAGGATGAAGGTTACGTAAAAGAAATTGATGTACAGGCTCATTAATATTAAGGACTATTTTCTAGAGATGACTAAATGCTAGTGGTATTGTACCCTTGAGTAGTCGTGGTAAATAAGAGGTGGTGATGTTAGAGCAACTGACCAGTCCCAGAAGCCTTTTGTGTGAGGCTGATCTAGTTGTCATAAATAGAATCATACTTCAACGGATCAGTCCCAGAAGACTTTTTGGATGAGGTTGATCTTGTTATCATGAATTAACTCAGCTATCGACGGATCAGTCTTTGACGCCATTTTCGATGAGGCCGATCTAGTTATTATAACTAATTCATATTTCACCAGATCAGTCCCAGAAGCCTTTTTGGATGATGCTGATCTAGTTATCATGAATTTAATCAGATATCGACGGATCTGTCCTAGAAGCCTTTTGGGACGAGGCTGATCTAGTTATCATGAATTTAATCAGATATCGACGGATCAGTCCTTGAAGCCTTTTTGGATGAGGCCAATCTAAATTATCATGAATTTAATCAAATTTCAAAGGGTCAGTCCTTGACGTCTTTTTGAATGAGGCCAATCTAGTTATCCTAACTAAATCATATTTCAACGGATCAATCCCAGAAGTATTTTTGGATGAGGCGGTTCTAGTTATCATGAATTAACTCAGATATCAACGGATCAGTCCCAGAAGCCTTTCTTAGCTTTTCAGATGACGCTGATCTAGTTATCATGAATAAAATCGGATTTCGACGGATCAGCCCTCGAAGCTTTTTGGATGAGGATGATCTAGTAATCATGAATTAAATCAGATTTCAACGGATATGTCCTAGAAGCCTTTTTGCATGAGTCTGATCTAGTTATCATAAATTACGTGGGAAATAGGGACATCTTCTCCTTTAGATCTCTCTGTGGTTTCCTCTTCATTGGCAAATATGTGCAACTGGGATGCAGACATTCAGGTGCGTCCAATGCAGTCATGTGAAGACCATGTATCTAGCTGGAAGTTTAATAGACCAGCTGTGGTAAACATACCAGTTCTGATATGATCAATGATGGTATTGATGTCTCCTGTGATAATATCACTAAACAGACTGTTGAAAAAGGAGAGGCATGTATTGGTATGTCTGCCAGTGGATCCACTTCTTCTAAAACTGCTCTTTGGCTGCTCCTTAAGGCAGGATTGTGCTATGAACTGAGTTCCATAAAAGCAACACAGCCTCATCAAAAACGAATTTTTAATAACAAATTGACAATTCATATACCAACATGACTTATGTGTTTCCTTTTTGTGAGAGTATATGCTAGACGTACGCTATAACTTTTGGCATTTCACATTAAATTAAAACCAACAGACGTGAAGATCATTTTCTAACCTGGATTCCCTGCATATGCCTCTATTGAAGGCTTGGGCTCTGTTCCAGATGCGTGTTAGCGAATATTATAATAACTGCGTTTATTGCTTAACAGGAAGTAATCGCGTACCGCTTAACGAGCGATTAACTCGGCATTTGGCGTTTGATATCTGGTTACAATGTACATGAACAAAACCGATAATACAAGCGTAGGTCAACTACGTAAGTCAACATCGCTAATTGTTGTTACATGCAAAAATGTCCCCAACCTAAGAAACACACACTATCACCCTCCACCTGCGTAGCAAATAGTCTCAACTGATAGTAATTATATGCAACTTGACAATTGGCTCTCTGAGATACGACTTATGCAGAGACCAGAAAAGATATTGGTGACATACATTCTGTTGTCAATAATAGCATTTGGAATGATCTACAATAGATATCATGAGACTGACTATGTATTTATTCATTAACCATTCTCACAGGTTCACAAATATGTTGGGTCAAAATTGATCTTCAGCAACCCATGTTGTCGTAAGAGGAAACTAATGTGATCGGGTGGTCATTTAGACTAGTCAAATTTCTAAGAAATGTGGATTTTAAGGATGCATGAGGCATTTTTGAGTAAAAGCAAGCAAACAACATTTTCTCGGGTAGTTTTTCGTGCTGAATACGAATCTGTTGTTTGCTAAGCTCAAAAATGCCTAATTAGGTCACAAATTGGGTTCAAAGGTCAATGTGTGCAAAATTCAAGTTTTTTTAAAAAGTGTTCTATCTATCATTCTCCATCCACACAATGAACTCAGTTTACAATATATTGATTAATAATGTTACCACAGGATTTCAAAATGTTGAAATTCATGGAAATACTGAAGGAAAACTTTCGTATTTTTGTAAATATCTCCCTTATGGAGCGACTTTTAGTTTTTGCGTGAAGAGCTACTTTTTACTAGCATTTTTGCTCAAAATGCAAAGCAAGGCTGAATCTTTTCCTTTTGTTGACAGAACTATATTCCAGGCAAACTGTTTAGATCACAAAATTGCATATTAAGAGCATAATTACTTCAAAGGCTAATGAGTTTGACAGGATGCGATACTGCGATAGGCATTTTACATGTATGCCACACGAATGCTTTTTATACTGCTTCACATTCATGTCAAATGAAACTGCTTTCATCCATGCAGTGAGTTTGATTAATGATTTTAGCAACATAATTACCCACAGAACAGTTCAGGAAATCACCGGGACAGGTGGGAACCCTATCTGATAATGGCATTGATGGCACA